TTTTTTTTTTTAAGCCCCTTTTTTTTGGGCTACCGGTCGCACCCCGGTGGGTACCCCGCACTACGCAGCGCGTTAACAGCCGCGTCGAAATCCTCAAGCAGGGCGAGGTACTGCCTGCCTACCACTACTCCTAAGGCTTATACAGGGGACCCCTGCGAACATAGCTTTGTTGTCTCCCTCCGTCCATCAGAGGGGATGCATGTTACCCCCCGTCCCAACCATGGTGGTCAAGGATGAGGTGGGGCTGCTAGTGGGGGTCCGGCTAACGCAAAGACTGAACATTTTGCCAATAGCTGCGCCTCACTTTTCATCCTCCCCCTCCCCCAACCGAATAACAGCAGTCAAGGCCAACACTCTCCCACACACCACACACAACCCACTCACACTCACACTCACACCCCTGTTGGCCAAGGACCCAGCTAACAAGCCGACTATCACCGCTGGTTGGCACTAAGTGCACCGTAGGTGAGGGTGGGGCTCGAACCCACAACCTCCTCAATGCCACTTGCGTGCCTAACCAACTGAGCTTGGCCGATTACCATGACCCCTGGCACAAGGACGACACCCATAAATCGAGAAATCGGAAAATCTCTCCAAAAAATAAAAAAAGAAATCGGAAAATCGGAAAATCGGAACGGGACGGGGGAAGCAAAGAGATGGCCGTATGTGACCGATCGACGGACGAGATCGACGACGCAGGGGAACGGAGATCTACCGGTAGATTGTACAGCGGGAAAAAAGTGGCATACGTGACGGTCGGGGAAGTGTACGGCACGGCTCGGCCACCGCACTTCCCGTCACCGCCTGCAGCTTTTCGGTAAGCTTGGTTGGGTTGGAATGCACGCATCTCATGTCGTAAGGGAAGGAGTGGGGGTGGGAGAGGGAGAGAGGCTCCGGGCAGCTACCACGTGGGCAAGAGAGGGCGTGCTTTTGAAGTGATGCGAGGGTGTAATGCCACGTGGATCTGTCTCGCGGGCGTCGGGTTGAGTGTTTCTGTGGCAGTGGCGTTCTTGCTGCGCCTCTCGCCGACCCGGCACTTACTGGTTATTGCCCCCAGCGGCGGAAGATTGCCGACGTGGCGATCGGAGACTCCGCTCGCGTGGCGGCGGAAAAGTTGGGACAGCTCAAACAGGACGGGTCGGGATGAACGTGCTGCTGTGTGAGTCGTGCATCCACGAACGAGCTACCGACAATATCGACGAGGTGAGTGCCCCATATCCCCCGCCGCTTTTTCGGTAATCGAACGTATGAAAATGAGTTGTTGCTACCGCATTTGACCCGAAAAGGGCCACAAATGCATGCCGTCTCGGATTATCAGCTCGGTTACCTGGAAAACATGCGATCAACACTCGACGACACGTGTACCCACTCTCCTGTTGCCCCATCACCTTTCTCTCCACCTCATCTGGCGCGCAATGTGCAACCAATCATCGCGTGGTTGTAATTAATTATCATTGTTACGAGCGTTGAAAAAGGGAGAAAAGAAACATTGTGTTTGGGAGATGGAACTACAGCGGCGGCCACAGGAAGCGGGTGAAGGGTTGATTAGTATTGACGACAACCACGGCAAATGATCCATCAGTGCATCATCTGCTGCCACGTGGAAGCCTCTCAAGGGCTTCCGACAGAATTGCGGTCACTCGTGACGAATGGGAGCGATGGCAGAGAGGCAGGGGAAGAAAGAACACCATCGGAAGGAGTAGGTGGGGATCGTGTTGTGCATGCCGAGAGGCAGGGGGGAGAAAGAACACTACCGGTAGGGGGATGGAGGTCAAGTGGCCGGTCATCCTGGCAGGAGAAGGTCGTCTTTGAAATCCTGAGACGCTGGAGTAGCAGGAGAAGGACGAAGGAGGAGGGTGAGGATGCGGGATCAGGAGGACCAGAGAGTCAGGATAATGACGAAGAGCTCAGTCAAGATGGAATGGGATGGCAGAGGAAGCAGAAGGAGAGTCGCCACCATAGGGTGAAGCATGCAGGGTAAATTTTTGCCGGCGTTAAGGAGGTTGTGGAGGAGGAAGACGGCGAGGAGGGTCCTAAAGTAAAGGGGAGGAAGATGCAGGTTGGGGACCCAATTTCTGAAGAAGGGGATGGGGATGGGGATGGGCAGCGTGGATTGGGAGGGGCCTGATTGGGATGTGGGATCGAGAGGAGGAGGAGGTCGGGATGCCAGTCAGTCAAGGTGAGGATGTGGGAACCGATGAAGCTAAGTTGCAGGGGAAAGATCACCAAGGCCTCAACAAGATAAGGAATGCAGGCGTGTAGGGGGGAGCTGGACAAGGTTGGGGGGGGTTGGAAGAAGGGATTGTAAGGCAGGGAGAGGATCTCAGAGCGGAGGGGAGGGAACAGGTAAGGAAAGGAGAGAGCAGGGTAATGACGAAGGGCCTCGGTTATGAGGGGATAGGGTAAATGTGAATATGCAGGTGATGGAGACAGCAATGAAGACAGAAAGAGCGACAGACGGAAGAGAGGAAAGGGCATTAGCAGATGCACAGGGGTCGTATCGAGTACGGGAAAGAGGAGCTCAAAAAGGATCCCAACGGAGAAGAGAAAGACGTGGAGAAAGAGGGGGAAAGAGAGGCGACAAACACAGTTCAAGAAGAGAAGAGGATGGGGAGAGATCGGGAGGAGGGGGGATAAAGGGCGCGAGTTGAAAAATGGAATCGGCCAGGCGGAAGGGAGGCAATGGAGATAGAAGACAGCGGAAAAGGCGAGCGGGGAGAGAGAGAGAGAGAGAGAGAGAGAGAGAGAGAGAGAGAGAGAGAGAGAGAGAGAGAGAGAGAGAGAGAGAGAGAGAGAG